AAGGTAGCACAAATAAGCGTATGACCTCTTAAAGCCTGGCCAGCAACAGCTGGGAAAACCGCCATCGTGGTGCGTGTACACGAACTATGCGGGGTCACACATTTGAATCACCATTCATGTTGCTTTTGTACCCCACACTTGATAAGCTGCTCCCATTTCGTCCGGGAATCGTCTTAGAATCCAGTGTTCACCTGATGCGAGTCGTGTGGCCTCAGACATGGACGTATAGTCATTCACAATTCTTGATAAGTGGTCGTCATATGAGCGAAATATTCTCAAGCACGACGTTAAACCCAATTTCACCTCACCTCTTGATAAGTGGAGATTCAAAGGGTCAATAAGTCATCCACCTGATGAAGGGGCAAGAAGTAGCCCAGAAACGTCGTGTTTTAAATATTAAAGAAGTTGTAAATACATAACATACGTTGTTGTGTTACCTCCCAACTTCTAAATGCCCATCAAGAATCTGGTCAACAAGTCATTAGTGAGTGGGTGAGTTTAGTTTTACGCCGCACTCAGCAATATGCCAGCTATATGGAGGCGGTCTGTAAATAACTGAGTCTGGACCAGATAATCTAGTGATCAACAGCATGAGCATCGATCTGCGCAATTTGGAACCGATGACATGTGTCAACCAAGCCAGCGAGCCTGACCACCCGATCCCGTTAGTCGCCTCTTACGACAAGCATGGGTTACTGAAGGTACATTCTAACCCGCATATTCACGGGTCAACTAGTCATTACGGGGCGCGGTGGGCGAACTGGCTAAAGCGCCAGGCTAGTGATCCAGCGAGCTTGAGGTGACGGGATCGAGCCCACCTGTGACCGGGTGTAAAAAACCTTGGAGTCAACTTTGTGTGCAGACTCTTTCAGTGTTGTCACAACCCCTAGTGTACAGTACACAACCCTGTGCACTTAAAAGAACCCACGAATCCGTTGGTATATGACCAGATGGTGGCCACATGAATACGTGCAAACACCCAGTTGCGGGTACAGCAACGTGCAGTAAACATGGACAAAGTACTGTGACTATGTGTCCCAGTCCACCCAGCTGTAAAATGGGTACCTCGTAAGGATGGGAATGCCACAATAACTCGGTGCGCCTAGTGGCTGCAAGAGTTGTATGCTCCCCAGGGAGTTGAGATTGACAATACGATGTGCCGTTGAGATTGACATCCAGTGAACGAGGGAAAAAACTTTAGCGCCTAGAGAAATTGCCTTGCAGTTTGATTTGTGCGCTATACAAGAACACTTATTATTATTATTATTTACATTATCTAGAAATGTATTACTTACAACAACAATTAATTAATGTTTGTTTTTTTAACGCCGCACTCAGCAATATTCCAGCAATGTTGCGGCGGCCTGTAACTAATCCAATCTGGACCAGACAATCCCGTAATCAACATAATGAGCATTGACAAACACACTTGGGATAGGACATGTGTCAACCAAGTCAGCGAGCCCGTCCACCTAATCCCGTTAATCGCCTTTTGCCAAAGAGACTTGTGCATGTCTTGAAAGGCGAGGTGAACTGGGGTTTAACGCAGGGTTCAGGATTATTGCATAATATGTCACCGTACACCTGTGTGCGTGTGGCTATTAGTACTGAAGGACTAAAGCTGGTTTTATGGTTGTAGGTCATTGAGGCACCGGTTTAACGTACACAATACAGACACAGAATGCTGACTCCGAGCAGGCTGCCCTAGTCTGTCTCACAGCCCCTGAACCACATTATTTTCCCTACTGCCTAGCCCTCCCTACAATGCTAAAGCCGTAAACGAAACAAGTCTAGATTTCACGCTCTGAACCTCCCATCTCACTGGGGCTCCTTTTCAATGTAAGTGGTTTATTTGTTACGATCAAAATTGAACATATTCAGAGACTAAGAGTTGGTCTATGCCTGTCCGTGTATTACCTCCCATAATCCATCGAGCGACTGACCGCGTCACAACATACACCATTCTCGAACGACTGGTATGACCATGGGATCGAACAACCGATCTTTCGCGATGCAGGTAAACGCTTTATCCACTAGACCATGGTAGCGTCGTGTCTGTGTTCATTGAAAAATCACTGAGCCACAGCGGTCTACACAGGATTTTGATAGAAAAACACAATTCATGATAAATTGAAAAGGAGACCCAGTGAGATTGGAGATCCTGCACCTGAGGAGATCTAGCCCCGCATCATTTACTGCTTCATCATTGAAGAAAGGGATGGTCAAAGGGTTAACGCGCTTCAGTGATTGTGAGACAGACTAAGGATTGTTCCACAATTTCGTAACAGTAAAACATCAATTGAGAAAGGGTTTCCCTCGACCAAACACGCATATCCGTCTCTGGCTGAACATAGTGAGGGCTGATCCACCCCAATGATTTCATCCTTTAGCGCCACGGGATATCTATGGCCCTCGTTTGTTCTCATGGGCTGAGATAAGTGCCGGTGTGTTCATGTGTCAACAACAACACACACTGTATCCATACCCAGCATCATGAGTGCAAGGTACCCGGGTATTTGATCCCAGCACCCCGGGGCACATGCCAAACTGGTTTCCACAGGGTCGCGTTTTAAGCCTTTGAACAGAGGTCCCTTTTCGTCACAGCGGGAGAGTGAGTGTGAGTGTGTTTTTACGCCGCTTTTAGCAATATTCCAGCAATATTCCAGCAATATCACGGAGGGGACACCAGAAATAGGCTTCACACATTGTACCCATGTTGGGATCGAACGCGGGTCTTCGGCGTGACGAGCGAAAGCGTTAACCACTTGGCCACTATCAGTAACATCAGAGTTTCGACATGCCGTGCTTCACAGTGTCCATTGCCAACCCACAGTTCCAATCGTAATGGCACTGTAGAAATTGTGTTCCTATGTTGGGATTCGAATCCTGGGTTTCAGTGGCACGGAATGAATGTCTCAGACTTTCACAGAAGGAATCACTTGGGCAAGATGAACCACAATGAACTTGCATCCTCTGGATAACTGGGTGGCGTCACCACTTTACCTACCCAGATTCAGCATGTTTCATTGAGTGAGAGTAAATTTAGTTTTACGCCGCTTTTTTGCAATATTCAAGCAATACCACGGTGGTGGACACCAGAAATAGGCTTCACACATTACATCCATGTGGGGAATCGAGCCCGGGTCTTCAGCGTGACGAGTGAAAGCTTTATATAATTAACCACGAGGGTGATGGCGGTGGTGGAATTGAGTTTAACGTCGGGCATGGGTGTGTATGTATGTGCGGCTGCTTGTACTAGCCCTGACTTAAGCTGGTTTTATAGTGCTAGCCCACTGAGATACCATGCTGCAGTGAAACATGAATATCCCACTCAGACACATTATACTGACTCCGAGCCGACCAGTCCTTGTTGTACCCATTAATGCCGAGCGCCAGGCAGGAACCAACAAGATCCATATTTTAACGTCTTTTGGTATGACGCGGTCGGGGATCGAACCCGCGACCTTCCGCTCTCCGGGCGGACGTTCTAACCACTACACCACGGAGGCGGTCAACCACGAGGGTAACCCCACCGATCCAGCAGGTTTCAGAATATCAAACTTACATTGTTTTGTGTTAACAGTTTGTATTTTCAATTCCGTGCTTCCTAAAACGATTATTTCGTTAGATATCGCCATTCTGTGAGTGAGTATAGTTTTACGCCGCTTTTAGCAATATTCCAGCAATATTACGGCAGGGGACAACAGAAAATCGGCTTCACTACCATTCTGTGAGTTAAGATAACGTTCAGATTGGAAGGGGTCATTCAAAGTGAGCATAGCAATTCCTACACATTTCCAAAGTTGACCGATAAAGGTTCGATGGGAAAGTCTGGTGGTCTTATAGTTCTTTCTTCACATTAAAGGCCCAGATTCGACTCCCTGCAATGCGACAATGTATGAATCCAGTTATCGCTTAGTGCTGGCTAGCCAAACTGCTCAGCCATAAAAACCCCATTCACTCCAAATGTTACATAACTGAACGAGTTTTTTTCTGATTAACCCTATAAACGATTGAGCGGTATTATTATATAACCATATATATAATACATCAGGTTTAAGTTATGTAAAGTGCTTGGCAAGTTGTCAAAGCGTTCGCTCGTCACGCTGAAGATTCCCCTCATGGGTACAATGTGTGAAGCCCACTTCTTGTGTCCTCGTCGTGATATTGCTGGAACATTGCTAAAAGAGACGTAAACTTTATACTCATCCATATTAGGTTTATGGATACAAATATTTACTTATCTCTCGGGCTCCTCTAGAGTCGAGTAGACAGAGCGTCTCCCCGGTTCTGATTCGATCCCTGGCCGAACCAAACCGAAAACAGGTTAACGACGATACTTTTTGTTTCCCTGCCTTGCGTTCGGCATCTCGGGGATAAAACAAGGACCGATCTGCCCCGACTCCTACTACACTGTGTGAGCGGGGGTGTACCGTTCTACTGAGACGTGATACCTCAGTGGGCAAGGATGATAAAACCGGGGATTAATCCTGCCACGCTTCACCCAACCTCTCATCTCCTATTATATGAACAAAATACGAAAAATAATAATAATCATACAGATCCCAAGATTACTTCAATCTGCTGTGATGCTATCACTAATTATAAGGGGCGGTGGGGTAGTGGTTAAATCGTTCGCTCTTCACGCCGAAGGCCCGGGTTCGATTCCCCACATGGGTACAATGTGTGAAGCCCATTTCTGGTGTCCCACACCGTGATGTTGCCGGATTATCACTCACTCACTAATTATGAGACAATGTATTTATGTATAAACAATGTATAAACTCGTTGGTGAAGACACAAATATCAAATTACGAACAGCTGACCCGCCAAACAACTAAACTATGTCAGTTACGTAAATACCAAATACGAAATAAAATGTTGTCCCCGAATTAAGTACATTTCTCATCATGTATACGATTGTACATATTCAATGTATGTATTGTATTGGCGTATATGTCAACAAAGCATGAGGAATACTAATCTTTCATTTTACTCACCCAAAATGTTCCTCCACAAAAGTCTTCGAAACCGTTAGCCATTATGACGTTTCCTTAATCCGTGTTAATCAGCGTATCCAAGAAAAACATACAATGCACAAGTTCTGTCATCAACAGCTGTAAAATCAACTCTTGGGTAAGTCCACATCCATCTGGAGACGAGGCAGCTATATCATGTCCCCTTACTTTGAACGGCACTTGAACTCAGGGCTTATGGGCCACGTGACCTGAAGGTTATGCAGAGGCTGCACGTGAAATACGTTGTACTATACGCAGGGCCAGCGCTGTACTACACCCTGAGCTCCTCACATGCCGCTACACGCACTGTCCTGTGTGGAGTTTACATAACAATGCTTTCCTAGTTTTGAAAGGTTCCTTTCGTTGAGGGTAGTTCCATGGACCTGTTAAACAGGTCGGTGCAGGTTGTTTGAGACCTGCCTGCTGTTACCTTGTCAGAAGAGAAACACAGAGAGATAAGACAGGTTTCCATAAAATATTCACATTAACCAGAGACCATATAATAGAATTATTATTCTGTTATAATTCTATTATATGGTCTCTGCATTAACACATCAAGCGATAAGCGATAACGTTTCTAAGGTGCATAAAATCACCGTGCGCTCTTCAGTACGCGCTGCGTGGCTGAACAATAAAGAATTGTTTTTCCGTGCTGAATGAAGCGAAATAAAATATCACTGCTCCCTGCCGACCCCACCCCCTTTAACTATCTCGCGCCACCAAGATGAGACCACATTCGTCCGTCATCCCGTCATCGTCAACTTTACAGCTCTTCTTTAATGTTATATAGTATTTTACTTTGAACATTGACGTTAGACTAATGCACAGTCTCTGAACATATATAATTTTGATAGTGACAAATGAACCAATTTAATCTGAAAAGGAGCCCCAGTGAGATGGGTAATTCAAGACCTGAGTTGCCTGAGGAAGCTGAGGAAATGTGAAGCCCATTTCTGGTGTTCCCCGCCGTGATATTTTTGGAATATTGTCGAAAGCGGCGTAAAACCATACTCACTCACTAGTCTCCGATTATCTATAGGTTTGATAGTTACAAATAAACCCATTTAAATTGAAAAGGAGTCCCAGTGAGATGGGAGATTCAGAATGTGAAATCTAGACTTGTTTCATTTAGGGATTTAGCATTGCAGGGAGGGCTAGGCAGTAGGGAAATAAAAAAAATGTGGTTCAGGGACTGTGAGACAGACTACATTGCAGGGAGGGCTAGGCAGTAGGGAAAATAATGTGGTTCAGGGACTGTGAGACAGACTACATCGCAGGGAGGGCTAGGCAGTAGGGAAAATAATGTGGTTCAGGGACTGTGAGACAGACTACATTGCAGGGAGGGCTAGGCTGTAGGGAAAATAATGTGGTTCAGGGACTGTGAGACAGGATATATTGCAGGGAGGGCTAGGCAGTAGGGAAATAATGTGGTTCAGGGACTGTGAGACAGGATATATTGCAGGAAGGGCTAGGCTGTAGGGAAAATAATGTGGTTCAGGGACTGTGAGACAGGATATATTGCAGGAAGGGATAGGCTGTAGGGAAAATAATGTGGTTCAGGGACTGTGAGACAGGATATATTGCAGGAAGGGCTAGGCTGTAGGGAAAATAATGTGGTTCAGGGACTGTGAGACAGGATATATTGCAGGAAGGGATAGGCTGTAGGGAAAATAATGTGGTTCAGGGACTGTGAGACAGGCTACATTGCAGGGAGGGCTAGGCAGTAGGGAAAATAATGTGGTTCAGGGACTGTGAGACAGGCTACATTGCAGGGAGGGCTAGGCAGTAGGGAAAATAATGTGGTTCAGGGACTGTGAGACAGGCTACATTGCAGGGAGGGCTAGGCAGTAGGGAAATAATGTGGTTCAGGGACTGTGAGACAGGCTACATTGCAGGGAGGGCTAGGCAGTAGGGAAAATAATGTGGTTCAGGGACTGTGAGACAGGCTACATTGCAGGGAGGGCTAGGCAGTAGGGAAATAATGTGGTTCAGGGACTGTGAGACAGGCTACATTGGAGGGAGGGCTAGGCAGTAGGGAAATAATGTGGTTCAGGGACTGTGAGACAGACTACATTGCAGGGAGGGCTAGGCAGTAGGGAAATAATGTGGTTCAGGGACTGTGAGACAGGCTACATTGCAGGGAGGGCTAGGCAGTAGGGAAATAATGTGGTTCAGGGACTGTGAGACAGACTACATTGCAGGAGGGAGGGCTAGGCAGTCAGGGGCTAAAATAATGTGGTTCAGGGACTGTGAGACAGGCTACATTGCAGGGGAGGGCTAGGCAGTAGGGAAAATAATGTGGTTCAGGGACTGTGAGACAGGCTACATTGCAGGGGAGGGCTAGGCAGTAGGGAAAATAATGTGGTTCAGGGACTGTGAGACAGGCTACATTGCAGGGAGGGCTAGGCAGTAGGGAAAATAATGTGGTTCAGGGACTGTGAGACAGGCTACATTGCAGGGAGCTAGGCAGTAGGGGAAAATAATGTGGCTCAGGACTGTGAGACAGACTACATTGCAATGTGGTTCAGGAAAATAATGAGACAGGACTGAGACAGACTACATTGCAGGGAGGGCTAGGCAGTAGGGAAAATAATGTGGTTCAGGGACTGTGAGACAGGCTACATTGCAGGAGGGCTAGGCAGTGAAAATAATGTGAGGGACTGTGAGGCAGCTACAGGGAGGGAAATAATGTGGTTCAGGGACTGTGAGACAGGCTACATTGCAGGGAGGGCTAGGCAGTAGGGAAAATAATGTGGTTCAGGGACTGTGAGACAGGCTACATTGCAGGGAGGGCTAGGCAGTAGGGAAAATAATGTGGTTCAGGGACTGTGAGACAGGCTACATTGCAGGGAGGGCTAGGCAGTAGGGAAAATAATGTGGTTCAGGGACTGTGAGACAGGCTACATTGCAGGGAGGGCTAGGCAGTAGGGAAAATAATGTGGTTCAGGGACTGTGAGACAGGCTACATTGCAGGGAGGGCTAGGCAGTAGGGAAAATAATGTGGTTCAGGGACTGTGAGACAGACTACATTGCAGGGGAGACAGGCTAGGCAGTAGGTGACAATAATGGTTCAGGACTGTGAGACAGACTACATTGCAGGGCTAGGTAGTAGGGAAAATAATGTGGTTAAGGGACTGTGAGACAGACTACATTGCAGGGGGAGGGCTAGGCAGTAGGGAAAATAATGTGGTTAAGGGACTGTGAGACAGGCTACATTGCAGGGAGGGCTAGGCAGTAGGGACAATAATGTGGTTCAGGGACTGTGAGACAGACTACATTGCAGGGAGGGCTAAGCAGTAGGGACAATAATGTGGTCCAGGGGATGTGAGACAGACTACATTGCAGGGGGGTTAGGCAGTAGGGAAAATACTGTGGTTCAGGGACTGTGAGACAGACTACATTGCAGGGAGGGCTAGGCTGTAGGGGAAATAATGTGGTTCAGGGGCTGTGAGACAGACTACATTACAGGGAGGGCTAGGCAGTAGGGACAATAATGTGGTTCAGGGACTGTGAGACAGACTACATTGCTGTTTGTGTACTCGGGTGTATCTTAGCATATTTGACTGTGTGTTATATCTATTGTATGTATACATGTGTGTGTGTGGTATGTATGTCTCTGTGTGATATTGTTTGACAGTACGTTAGTTTAACATAAAGATATCTTGAAAGAGATCTATTGTCTCGTAAGCCTGATGACTGGATGCTTTGTCAGCATATAACTGTGTTTTATGGATACATAACTTTGTAAATTGGCATGTGACACTTCAATAACATTTCAAAGTAATATTAATCTGATCTAATTTAATTTAAACTTTAATATTACTCCCCATATGCCCCGAGAGTAATTTTGGAGTGAGCTAGGATGGTCTTACGCCGCTTTTAGCAATTTTCTAGCAATATCACAGCGGGGGGTGATCAGAATGGGCTTCAAACATTGTACCCATGTGGGGAATCCGGCTTTCCGGCGTGACGAGCGGACGCTTTATAGCCATTAGGCTACCCCACCACCCCGGGGACCTTTGTCGATGATGCAGATCTTTGTTGTAACATTTTGTTTTCATTACAATTGAATTCAGATCGCGACCCGTCCATATACTTGACTCACGCCATGTTGTTTTTTTTCAAATGTTTTTTTATGCATTGTATTTACATGGATACAATCGGATGCAACATCTGTGGAATCTAACTTATTCAATCAAAACTCAGTGGCACGATTGATTGTTTGTGGTTAACAACGCCATATGACAATATTTTTCACAAAATATACCTAACAGAGGATCAGCCTAATTGCAAGTCCTTTAGCAAGTGCACCCCGCTCACAATGCCACCTGTCAAGTGTTCTTAAAGGACAAACAGAAGTAACGATAACATTAGGTAATTTTGGAAAAGAGCACCGCACATCATTGTCAGAAGGGATGTATTTTTGTTTGTTGTTTAACGCCGCACTGAGCAATGTTACAGCTATATGGCGGCGTCTGTAAATAATCGAGTCTGGACCAGACAATCCAGTGATCAACATCATGATGGCCGGTTGGTTAGCTAGTGGTTAAACCGTTCGCTCGTCACGCTGAAGACCCGGGTTCGATTCCCCATATGGGTACAATATGTGAAGTCCATTTCTGGTGTCCCCCACCGTGATATTGCTGGAATATTGCTGAAAGCGGTGTAAAACCCAACTCACTCATTCAACACCATGAGCATCTATCTACGCAATTGTAACCCGGATCTTCACGGGTCAATCCTATCTGATCCTCTAAGTGCAATGGTCAAATCTTGATGAGTGTTCCCTTCCCAGTAGACTGACTGACTGACTGAGTTTGGTTTTACGCCGCTTTTAGCAATCTTCCAACAACATCATGGCGGGGGACACCAGAAATGGGCTTCACACATTGTACCCATGTGGGGATTCGAACCCGGGTCTTCGGCGTGACGAGCCAACGCTTTAACCACTAACGCTATCCCACCGCCCACCTTCCCAGTAGACACATCTTTAGATCTCGACTGAATGGGACTGGGTGGAGTATTGTCTTCTTTCAAGTTTCCGATAAATAAAAAACTCAAATGCGCATTGTTGAAGCATACAGTTACCATATTATTTCCTGGTATCTGTTATTGTCCAGTCCAGGAAAGAGTTAAAAAGATTATCGTCATCGTATTACACTCCCTAATCACAGAAACACATTCCCTACCGAAACCTGAACCATATCGTTTACATTTAGCAATTTATGTCTTAGTTCATATCACTGAACCAGGCCCCGATTTCTCGAAACAAACTTAAGTCTGAGTTTTGACTTAAGTTAGAGTTTTTACTCAAATTTGAGAAAAAGAAGGAAAATGCATTTCCCAGAATGGACTGCAATTAATGTTAAACTCAAACACAGTACACAATTTGAGTTTGGGGGATAGATTACTTAAGTTGTTTGGGTGTTT